ACACACACACACACACACACTCCCAGCCAGGTGATTGAAGGGCAGCCACGCTTCCTCAATATGGCCCAACTTGCAGGAGTGTCATGAATACAAAGGGGCAAATCCAGGGGTGTCCCCTTGCTCCCATAGAAGAGACGCAGGGAGTTCACAGGGCGGCTAGATTTTACGCAAGCAGGCGATTACCCCCTCCCTCAAGCAAACCCTCCCCCAGCCCTGTTGCCTCCTCCTCCTGAACCCAGGACAGGTTGCTTGCTCAGTCCGTAGGCCTTGCCACCGCTCTCCTGATCTTGGCCAAGGGGCCACATTTTTTGACAACCTCCTTCCTTCCCTTACCTGTGGATGGCATCTCTCTCTCTCTGTCTCTCTGTCTCTGTCTCTCTGTCTCTGTCTCTCTGTCTCTGTCTCTGTCTCTCTCTCTCTCTCTCTCTCTCTCTCTCACGCACACACACACACACACACACACACACACACACACAGAGAGAGAGAGAGAGAGAGAGAGAGAGAGAGAGAGAGAGAGAGAGAGAGAGAATGTATTTTCTGAGCTGCTGCTCCCTGAGCGCTCCTTCCGCCCTGATTATGGCATTCATGGTTTCTCCGGGCTCCAGGTTGGCTGCCCCAGCCAGGTGCCCCACCCCACCCATGCCAGGAACCTCACCAGCCCCTTCTCTGTTTCTCCCTCTCCCCCAGTGTGCCACCTGTGAAGGCCAAGCAGAGCGCTCGTGTTCAGTTTGGGATCAAGCCCAGCAAGAGCGGGACCAAGCAGCTGCTGATCAATTTCTCCTGCAACAAATTCCAAGACATCAAAGCCTTTGAGATCATTGACGTGGCCAACTGAGTCCGGCAGCCCAGCAGAAGGTGGCCACCTGTCAGAGGTCCACCCCAGGCCCAACCTGTCACGTGAAGCATAGGAGCCCTTCTCCATGTCACCTTCTTCTAATACAGTTTTTTTTTCTTGCACTCCAACTGCATAGACTCTGGTTTTTGTGTCTGTTGTCTTCCTCAGAAAATGTTCGATGAAAATGTTGGCTGATGGGCAGCCATTGTACAAGGTTAAATTCACCCCTGGGCTTAATTAGCCAAGGAAGTCAAAACAAAGCTGGCAGCCTGGCTCTGCCTGGACCACAGTGGAATAGCTATGCCCTGCTTTTGGAAAAGGATCTTCTACAACTGGGAAAAGTGCAGAACAGGGAACAATCACGGGGCTGAAGCAACCCTGATATGGAGGGGAAAAATCACTTGTAGCGCTTAGGAAGAAAGGCAGTCACGGAGTCACGGCTCCCATGAAAAAGTGCCTGGTGGAGAAAGAGTGAGCCAGTGGAAGTTTTCCTCTCCCCTTCTCATCCCCTAGAGTGGAGTGGGGAGTGGTGGTTTTATTCGTCAAAGGTGAGTGGTGGGGGATCCGGAACAGACAGGAGATGGGACTGCTTCAGGCAGCATCTATGAACTTTAGGATTCACTGCCATATAACAAGTTGTTACCCAGCCAGCTGTAAAAGGGGATTAGAGTCATCCATCCATCCATCCATCCATCCATCCATCCATCCATCCATCCCACTTTGATCCTGCCCATCTAGTGGTGTTACGACTGCTCTGGGCAGCTACATACATAAACATAAAAACACCAACCTCCCCCACAACCAAACTTCTCAACAAAGACAGAAAATACCTAAAAAGAAAAATCACTTTCTAGTGACAGCAGACAGAAAGCAAATTCAATGTAACAACATAATAAGGTATCACTCAAGGAGGATGTCCTGAAAAGCTTCTCTAAAAAGCAGCACCTTGACAGATTTTCTAAACACTAGGAGGGAGGGGCCTGGCACGCCTCTGCCAGCAAGGTGTGCCATAAAGTAACAGCCCCCCCTGAGAAGACACAGTTCCTAGTTGTTGAGATCCAGACCTCCCTTGGGGGGGGGGGAGGCAGAAGCATCATGCTTTACATGGAGTGGGTGGCACAGGCAGTTGGAGTCTGGAGGGAGGCATGAACGCACGCGCGCATGCACGCACGTGCACACACACACAAAAAACCCTTTCAGAGATTTTGACGCAGGTCCTCCAGGGCAGGGCCAGCAAGTACTGGCGGGTCTGGCAGCATGCATCGTGGCCATTCCCCCTCTGTTGCGAAGGATGCACCCTCGCCTCCCAGGGAAACCCCGAATGAAGCAGGACATGCATCGTGGCCATTCCCCCTCTGTTGCGAAGGATGCACCCTCGCCTCCCAGGGAAACCCCGAATGAAGCAGGACATGCATCGTGGCCATTCCCCCTCTGTTGCGAAGGATGCACCCTCGCCTCCCAGGGACACCCCGAATGAAGCAGGACATGCATCGTGGCCATTCCCCCTCTGTTGCGAAGGATGCACCCTCGCCTCCCAGGGAAACCCCGAATGAAGCAGGACATGCATCGTGGCCATTCCCCCTCTGTTGCGAAGGATGCACCCTCACCTCCCAAGGGAAACTGGTCCACCCCTCCTGAGCAGCTCTGAAGGTCTGGAGTACTTTCTAAAGTTTACTTGACGTCTCCTTTCTTTTCGAACTTGGACCTCGTGCTTTGGGTCCTCCCAGTTTCCATGTGACGCCCTTCACCTCCTCGAAAGATGCCCTGTCCTTGCACTTCTCGGCCATTTCTTCTGCAGGCTGAACTTACTCCCAGCCTCCCTCGACTGTCCTTCCCAGGGCTTGGCTCCAGAACTTTCACCGCCTTCCCCTACAGACTGTTCCGCTTTGCCAGATCCGTCTTAAAGGGCGGCAGCGCCCAGAAATGGGTGTAGGGTCCCAGGTGAAGCCTGACCAAAGCCAGATAGAGTGGCGACATTTCTTCCCGGTACCCACTTATGGGAAGCCATAGGAGTGGGGAGAGGCGGCCTTTCTAGCCAGATATTAAGCACAGGGTGGGGATGGGGGGCTGGAGAAGAAGGTGTCCCCATGGCTCTAGCTGGCCCACCAGCAGATGTGCATTCCTGCACGAAGAACGGGGGTGGGGTTCCCTTTGGGTCCAGGGACCCGAATGACTCCTGTGGGGAGCAGACAAAGAGGGGGGCAGCAGCACTTGGCTCATACAAAGCAGCTGGGTTGGCCCTCGATCCAGGGCGAGAGGCTTTTGGGAGGAGAAAGGCCGCGCCACCATCGCCAGGGTCACCCATCCTCTCCCAAGGCCACCTAGAAAAGCCGGAGTCCCTCCGAGCCGAGCCCATCGGGAAGGGCACCGCCGGCCCTTCGCCCGCAAAGCCGAAGACCTGCCATTCATTTTCTGGGACTGGGAGCCCGCCCCTCCGCCGCCAGCCCGGGGCCGATCTTGGCCCTCTCCGGGGCCAAGGGAAGGCTCTTAAGGCTAACGGGGCCCTTCAGAGGGCCGCCTCTTGTCTGCGCCTCTCGGGACGGTTGCGCCTCGGGAGCCGGAGCGGACCTCTCCTCCCAGCCCAGCGGGCTGCACCAGA